ATTAATATTGTAGCTTATCAGCAAATCTTTACAGTTAAAGCTAAATCTACTAAATACGTATTATTACTCTTTTGCCTATTTTGACTCACACTGATATATAATTTAAATGAGTACTAAGAAATAACATGTTCCTTTATGCTAAATGAACCTGCATTCGGAATATTTAAAAATACGGACTTCAATTTCTTTATCAGTGCTCTTTTCAAAATCGAATCGTTTATGTTCATAAACTGCCATAAGACATACATGCCACTCCACATTGTCATCTTCTTCCCCAAGAGTTAGCAGCTTGGTGAGCGGACGCCCTGTGAGGCCTGCGTCACTGTCCGGAGACACGTGTCCATGCCTCACTGGAAGAGACCCACTTGCAGCTGGAGGGTGTGACCGTTTCAGAGTCTGGTTGAGGATCTGATGGTCAAGGGTCATGAAGGGTTTCGCTTGTTGTCTTTGAGCTTTCTGTAGCTGAGTCCTCCCAGGATTTTCTAGGTGTGCTGGGACCTACAAAATAAAAAACAAACAAAACACAGTGGGTAACGTCATCGGTTATATCAGAGTTCTAATTTTGACAATAAATACACTATAACATTATGGTTTCTCTCAATCTTGTAGATGTTGCTTCTACTATAATTTACATAAAATTTTAAGGGATTTTTGGTTTTAAGAATAATTTAAACTTTACTAAACTGTCTTAGATGTTAACCAGGTTTTTAAAATAAATATCCTTCAAAACAATGTACAACTGAAACAAAATTAAGAATAAATATATAATCATTATTGCTTTTGGAGGGCCTAATAAAAGATGGGTAAAATAACACAAGGGAAATAGAGTTGATTCACTATTATTAGTGATTTTTATATAATATATATTGTAGGTTATATATTACACATTAGTAATATAAATTACATATTTATATGTAATAAAATATATAATATATGTAATATATATTACATATGAGTTCTGTATTACAGATAAATATTCTATGGAATATAATCACAACGATTTGTTATTAAAATTTTAAAATTATTCATGAAGGAGCAGAGATTAGGAGTATTTATTAAGTGTGTTACTCTATGGGTGCTGAAAATCTATACTGAGCTTAGTTTTACATTTTAAAAACCTTATTTTTAAACTCCATATTCTTACCGTATAACAAGGATAATTTGGTAAATGAGTCATGATTGTGAATTGCCAGAGAGAAAAATTCTGAGAACATCTAACCAGTGTCATGTGCCAACTAACCAACTGTCCAGTCTTTTGAAATCCATTTTTCAAAGCATAATCTTAAAATTCTGGGTGTCAGAGATCTGGTGTACATGATAAGTACATACTGGTCATAGTTAACTATATACCATTATTTGTATAAGGATAATTTTAAGCATTTCAAACTTTCCATTTAAAAGGCCTATGAATGTAGTATTGCCTGCCTGTCCCCTTTATATTTACTATGCTGTGATGTGGCTTCTAATACATTTTCCTCAAGTGGCCTATATATAAGCCTATTTAATATTTCCCTCATGTTAAACAATAGCAAAGATTGCTGTACAGTGCTTATTTTTCCTTTTATTTCAGTTACACAAACTACTCCTTAAATCCCTTAACATGCATTAGCCCAGATAAATAGCCTTTGCAAAGTATTTTGCATTTAAATTAGCTGGTTTGGGGTGCAATATTGTAGTAGTTAGTTTAGTTTAATTCTGTTATGCTGACATTTTTAGCATTATTTTAATTGTACTACCATAAAATAGTTTTCCAGTCATATAAAAAAGATTAAGATTGGTAATAAAGATTACACATATTACTAATTAAATTGCTATGAGCTTTAAAGTTGTAAAATGACATTTCAGCAAAATGCCAGTGGGAATTTTTTAGGGTAGCTATTTAGATTATCCTACAGTTTTAAGTTAATCCTTCTTAATCTGTATACATTTACAACATATACATTATAAATAGCATTTTCAGATTCACAAATCTGAATGATCTTTCACACAATGCAACTGAATGCTAAAGAACATTATCTACCTACAAATGCAAAATATCTCCTGTTCTAAGAAAAGAATGTTGGATCAGAATTTACAACATTCATTGGCTAATTCATTTTTCACTTTTCATCTGTTAACTCTAAAAGCCTTTCTTAGACCACTTACTGTATTTTGCATTATATCAAGAGTACAAGATAAATCATAGATGTGATCTCAGGGCTCTAGGAGTTTACAGTCTAGTCGAGCAGTATTAATATCAACTATAGCAACCACAACAGTAACGATAATATCAATAAGCAACATGTCCCAGGTCCTGTCTTAAGCAATTCACTTATATTCTTTAATTTAGTCCTTGTTATAATCTTAGGAGACAGATATTATTAGTACCCCCTTTCCACCATGTAGATAGATAAAGTTACCAAAACTTAAGAGAGGTTGAATGGCATGCCTATTATCACTCAGCTAGTAAGGGATGGAGCTGGAGTACAAAGCCTCCTTCTTAACCTTTAGACAATATTAGGTAAATGACTAAAATGACTGAAGTACAAAGCAGAAGCTCAGTAGCATGTACAAAAAACTCAAACCAAACCCATTGCCATCGAGTCAATTCCAACTCACAGCGAAACCCTATAGGACAGAGTAGAACTGCCTCGTAGGGTTTCCAAGGCTGTTAATCTTTCTGGAAGCAGGCCGCCATATCTTCCTGCTGCAGAGCGGCTGGTGGGTTCCAACCACTGACCTTTTGGTTAGCGGCCGAGCTTTAACCACTGCTCCACCAAGGCTCCCTCATAGCATATACAATGAATTAAAAATGCTAAAGAAGCAATGTTTGCTTGAAGCTTTAGTTGTTTAAAGTTAATTGGAAGAAAGTGATTTTAAATCAGGAGTTGGAAGGAGAGATGACCCTGCAGAGAGGGCAAAGGGTAGGAAATTTCAAATAGAAAAGATCAAGATGAGGGAAGGCAAGGATCTGGGACATAGTTACAAATATTAGTCATGAAGACGACCCCACATTAATACTTTTCTTTTCTCAAAGCAAGACTACCAACTCTTCCGACCACACTATACAGAGACAGACTGAAATGCAACAACTTCAGTTCCACCTATGTTGTTAATTTATCATAGAGAGCTGCAAAGGTCAAAAATTTAGCAGGCAACAGTGAGGACTGTCTTGAACAGCATCTGTAACTTATTCAGTATCTGTAAGCAAAGAGGAATAGTCTATGCTTAGTGAAGTTGGGAAAGATTCAATGGAACGTGATTAAAATACTTTCCAGAATATCCCTGCCCTTTCCAGTCATGGACTGATACCAGAACCACAGGGCTACTGAAGGTGAGAGCACTAGTTAAAACAATGTGCAGCCAATTTTTAAAGTATTTTTAAATTGGCTGTGATCCGAAAACATAATCCTAGAAGTATGTTCTGGATTTCTTTCCTGAATGTCCCAACATTTGAGGGGATGAAGTAAATGACATTACAGGTTTCCATTGTTGATTTATTCCCTTGTCCAAGAAAGATGTTTTGAGTACGAAGTGTGTGTAGGCACGGAGCAGTACACGGAAGCTAGAAGGGAGATAGCCACATGCCTGCCCTCAAGGAGCTTACAGTCTAGTCACACGCAAGACAGGGAAGAAAACAGGTGAGTTCTCATAGGACAAGGACTTGAGTTTACCTTGCAGGCTGCTGTACTGACATACTTCAAGGCGCTTGAAAATATATGTGCAGTTAATGAATAAAAGAATAAATCATTAGAGCATAGTATGTGAGTACTATGATGACCACAGACAGCTTTGGGAATCTGTTAAAGCAGGTAAATCCTAGTCAGAACATCATTCTACACCTAGATTTTTCAAGGCACAAACATCAATCCAGAATAGGCTTATATATATAGAGAGAGAGAGAGAGATTGTGATTTGGTGTGTTGGACTGTCAAAAAAAATGAAGGCCACCAAAATGAATGGAAATTTTGCTACTAAATACAGTAAGTAAATCGTAGCTTCAGAACTCTGAACTTTCAACATTGTTACCCTGACATGCTTCACTTGCATACTAAAAATAATAACAGATTAAGTCTGAGTTTTTGTCTATATGCAGAGATTTGCTTTACTTCATTTCCAACGATTTATTTACTTATGGTCTCCCTATTTCCCAAAACATTATAAATAAATGTGAGGTGAGAATGTGGTGAGAGATATTTATACCAGGAAATGTAGCCTAAGGCCTTAAAAAGAAGTCAGGTAATATTTTTTAATAATAGCAGTTGAAACAACCATAGAGGATAATCTTAGGGTATCTCATAGCTGATGAAATTATTTGAAATCCCAGAGTTTGGATCAGTCTTGAGAGGGTTCAACTCTACAAACCACCAAAGATTAATTTAGAAAGTTTTGTTTTGCTTAAGCCTAAGACAAAATCATGTCTAAAATAAATAGTGATTAATTAAGAGTAACTGTTTTTGAGTTAGGCAACCCTATTTGCACTTGGATTTTAAAATTTCCTGGTAGATAGAAAAAACAAAACACCAAATCCATTGCTGTTGAGTTGATTTTGACCCATAGAGACCCTATAGGACAGAGTGGAACTGCCCCATAGGGTTTCCAAGGAGTGGCTGGTGGATTGGAACTGCTGACCGTTTGGTCAGCAGCCAAATTCTTAACCACTGTGCCACCGGTTAGCTGTGGGGAAAAGGAGGCCAGTAAAGAGGTGCTGGCTGGACAGGTTTTCTATTCCTCACATGGTTGTTAGCTGCCGTGGAGTCAGCCCTGACTCATGATGACCCCTATGCACAAGAGGATCTGACCATTGTGATCTACAGGGTTTGCACAGGCTGATTTTTCAGAAGTAGATTGCCAGGCCTTTCTTCTTAGTCTGTCTTAGGCTAGAAGCTCTGCCGAAACCTGTTCAGCATCATAGCAACATTCAAGCCTCCACTAACAGATGGGTGGTGGCTGTGCATGAGGTGCATTGGAATCTAACCCAAGTCTCCCATATGGAAGGCGAGAATCCTGCCCCCTGAACCACCACTGCCCCCTCTCCACATAGAGTCATGCTTATTTTCACGCAGTGATTTTCGAATTATGCTCCTGAATGTATGAGTTTATTCCTCCAGTTCACTCACCAGTATTCTACACTGTCATCTTTTGACCTATTTCATATGTGGGTTTCTGATCCTATTGAATTGCCAATAACATATCGTACAAGGGAATTTAAGGGACTATATTGTACAAGGGAATTTAAGAAACAAATCAGCATTTCCACCAAAATACTATGAAGACCTTCACCAAAGCTGTGGTTCTCTATTCCACAAAACTGTCATATCTCTTTAACTATTGCTATGTGTCATGTACAATGTTTTTAATCACAAATCGTGTTTATGCAGGCTTATCTTCATTTTAGCTTCTTTAAAAATGTTACCTTTTTATAGAGGAAGCATAAGATAATGGTAAAAGCCCTCAGCTAATTATTTCTACATTCACTCTGCAACATTTAATGAGAGTTTGTTCTTTGTTAAACTCAG